CACTAATAATCATAATAAATAAGAATAATAACAACAAAATAAGTAATAATAATAACAGTAATGATGAGTACAATAATAGAAGAAAAAAACAAATCAAAGATTGGGGATTTTAGGTAAAGTCTGGAAGGCCTTTTATAGTAAATGACTCCTTGGTGACAAACAACTTGTAGAGCCATTTATGCAGAAAAAAGGTATTCCAGAAACATAAGAAAAAAAAAAAAAATTAAACATGACCAAAAATACCTTCAATTCTAATTATCAACAATACCTAAGAGATATAGGCGGGAAATTTCATCATGACATGCTTCAACACAATGCACAGCTATCTCAAGCTTCAAAGTATTCAATGATACATGACTTTTACTTACTTTGTTCTGCAGTACAATTCCACATGTTGCTTGATCTCTGCCAATTTTGGTCTCACCCTCAAAAATCTCATGGCGGACGCCTTCAATTTCCAGCCATGCAACCTGCATTGATAGAATTGCAAACATACATAACTACAAAATCACAATTTCGATTTCTATACTTTTCTTATTAACATTAAATGGACCCCATTTTCTTTGTTTTCAATAATTTCCTCCACTACTCTTGGCAATTACTATTAACTTCTGAATATATTACAAAATATACACAAACCTTTAAGGGTAATGCCTATTGGACAGAGGGGATTTGGGTGAAATTGAGTGAAGGTTCAATTCTGAATATAAAGTCCTAAGAAAGAACAAAAGAAAGAAAAAAGCAGCAGCAGTACTTTAACAGTTATGTCTATATGTTTCCTATGAGCAAAAATTGAATGTTTTACTTTGACACTGTAGGAGCATGTTTAATATACATGTACATACATTTAAGTGCTTTAAAACAAACAATAGCATTTTTATTTAACAGCCTTTTCACAGTGACTTAGGAGTTGCATGTCCTTGGATATGAAAAAAAGTGAAGGATCCCTTTCACTCTTTAGGAACTCTTTCAAGAAATATGGCATTCCATAACACCACTTTCCCTTTCCCTCTCTCTAAGTAACGCATGAGTGTTGGAACTTTGAGGATTTTTGTAAAGGAAGAGGGAGGCTAACCTTGTGTGACCTCTTTTCTCATTACTTTATTCTATAATTTCTTTTGAATCCTATATAATTTGTAAATGATTGCAGAATAATAGAAAATAAACATCAGGTTGCAGAGGACACAGTCAAAGACTTAAATAGACCTTCTAACACTGTCCATCAATCACCTGCCAAAAATGACTTATATGCACAAATCTTAAGATATGTAATAATGTTATGTTACAACGACCTTGGCAGCCCTATAAGAAATCAATCAAAGCACTACATATATCACAAGAAAGAGATAAGGCATATCAGAAAATTGTTTGTTTATTGAACCTATAAATCATTCACCTCACCTAGCCTAACTTAACATAGACATAACAAGATCATAGGCGATGAGGTCGTAGGCATAACTCAAAAACTAGACATTTGGGATGATAAAGAACTATAAAATCAACCAAAGCACTACATATATTACCAGAAGAACTAAGTCACATCACAAAATTGTTGGTTAGGTGAAATTAAGAAGTTCAATTTTTAAAAATGTACACACATTATATGAATACATAAAATACACATCATTCATCAAATCACTCCTACTGCAGTATTTTTATAATATATGCAATTCATTATGTGAATTTACAAGAACTTACAATACGTTTTTCTCCTGAATTGTTGTCATCATCCTCATCCCAGTCAGCAGGTAAAGCTTGTGTACACTCTAGTGCTTGTGTGTCATCCATTTTCTTACTAATTCAATATCCTGAAAGAAAGAATAAGCAATAAGCAACCATTAGTATCTATTGCATAACACTCTTGGATTAATCTTTACAGTACGGACTCACTGAGGTAGGGTAAATTGACGATAATATTCTTGTACAGGACTAAAAGTTGCAGTTGTAGGTATAAGAAATAATCTGGTTAATCTTTACAGTATGCATACTGATATGAACACAATGTTTCACCAGGGGCTGAAGGGCACACTCAGTCATGGCAACTTAGATTGCTGAATAAACTTTGTGACATGGAGTTGGGAACTTAGTCTCTGGTGAGTTCATCCCTACTGTAAAGAATTATCTCATTCTTAAGTACAAATTTACCTTGCTTGAGTGTTGAAATAGCTTCAATTCACTTATTGTATTTCTACCTGTTCATAGATTGCAAAGCATTTTGTTAAACAGGTGAAAACATATGACTAATATCACACAGAGGTTTCCAAAATTCTACAAACATCCTTCCCCTCATCAACATGATACATGGTGAAATACTTGAAACCTAGCATCAAAGATGGCAACACCATGACATTTCTGCTTTAAATTTGGGTGTTCACAACAGTCCAACAACAATTACTTCAACATATTCACTTTAATATCTATGGTGCTCTCTGAAATCCTGCTCCAACAAGTTGGACAAGATGTAGTTAGCAACTGGAACCCCTATCTTGGTGTTTGGGACAAGTTACTCATCTTGTTCATCTCTCCCACCTTTGCAGGAAGCCAAGCAGAACAAGATGATGTCACAATAGTACTTGGATACAAACAATGTTAGTTGCAGGCAACCATCAGATAAGAAGTAATTTCATGGTTCTTTATTATTATTACCAAAGGATATTGTAGTGTTTGTCTGTTGCAGGTAATTTACCTATGCATCACAGTAGTTATAAAACCTATGCATAATAAAGTACTCAATGTTTACTTAAGTTGCTTTTTGGGTAATATGCCTCATTGTCCTGCTGGTCATGACAATTTGTCTGGTTGAGCAAAAAAGGAGTTCAGAATGCAGCATTAGGGTGTCAAGATTAGAACATCATATATATAGCAAATACCCTAAATGAATGGTGCACATGTTGGCACAACAGCTCATACAATCCTGTTTGTAATATATGTACAGAAGAGATTTCGGACAATATGTAGTATAAGGTAGTGGCAGAGTTGGGTAATAAAACTTACGTGAAATGATAGAACAATACAAACCAAGACAAAGTTCTTCTATGGCAATATGTGTGCAAATGCTTCCGAAGGGTGCTCTACGTAAAAGGAAAGAGAAGATCCCCCAATTTTGGCTAAGTCGCTTATCTTGTTTACATTGCGAGGGTGAATTCTAGGCGTATATATAACTACGGGGGTCTAGGGGGCAGAGTCCCCTGGCTAGGGAATATAAACAACAGTGTTAGGTTAGGTTGGATGTTGTGTTTTGTTTAACAACCATGGGGGTCCTGTTTTACCCCATAATTTCCCTGATATACTTCATGCACTCCCCTGCTATCAGGACTATCAAATCAAGATTGTCGATGGAGATGGTGATCATATCTCCTCATCGTTTCCTTTGCACAAGAAACAATGCCTAAAATTGTTGAAAGCAGTGGGTTTCATGCAGAAAAATATCAAAACTGTCTCAAAAGTAACCCACTACTCTCTTCTGCATATTGACCAGGGGTATCTTCTCTTTTCTTTAACGTATAGCACCCTTGGGAAGCATTTGCACACATATTGCTCTGTCTTGGTTTGTATTGTTCAATCATTTTAAGTAGGTTTTATTACCCAACTCTGCCACTACCTTGTACTACATATTGACCGAGATTTCTAATGCACAAAGAGATTTTATTGGTAGTGTACATGTTTGGAAGGAAAATGTCTATGAACATCCCATAGCTTCAGGCCCTAAGAATCGTTAACACTGAACTATGTTTCAATTTGGATAAGATAACATTACAGTCAAGTCCATATGTTAATTATCGGAGTTCATATTAACTTACACCCAAAATTTAATCTGCTTCAGAAGAAAAGACATACTGAGTATGTTTTGGTGCCGTTACTGGTCTCTTTAAATTGTAAGCATCTACTATGAATGTTTACCTTCGTCAAACTGTCCCGTTGTAAGTTTTCTTGGGAAAAGTTACTTGCACTTGAAAACTCACATTTGGGAAGTTATCCTTGCCCTTACATCTTTGCTCACCTAGGCGTGCTGACCCGCTTCACTCTACCATTCTCCTCTGAGCTAAACAGGTATCATGACATCATGCTCGTTCCCGCCTTCGTTGCCCCGCTCGGAAGTAAACACTGGTCCTCCCGCGAGGGAAGGCCCTCCGCAAAATTCAGAACTACTGCATATGCATACTCATTGAATGAAATATATATTACGTTCCCCCATTAATTACCAAGTATGGACTGTAACAGCAAGGGTAACATATCCCCCAATTCATTAATTTAATCAATTCATTTATTCATTTAATTTTTCAGCTTATAGCGTAGTGCATTCCCTTGAATCTATTATGCATTAAAGTCCAAGTTTACCATTATTTCTTTGTCAGTGCATATATATATATACATATATATATATATATATATATATATATATATATATATATATATATATATATATATATATATACATACACACACACTCATATATATATATATATATATATATATATATATATATATATAATATATATAATATATATATATAATATATATATATAATATATATAGATATAGATATATATAATATATATATATATATGATATATATAGATATATATATATATATATATATATATATATATATATATATATATATATATATATATACATTTTCATTATAAAGCATATAACACATTTAGACCTTTACAGAAGGGGTGGGATAACTGGCCTTGTGTACGCTCATTTCTGACCGAAGGCTATTTGGCCGAATCATCGCAAATACTGCGAAATCTGGGGCTGAAGGAGGCCGCGATACCCAGGCCTAGTGTGTGTTCTTTTCCACAGAAATTCATCGGGTATTCCAGGGTGCCAAATAAAAGCTATTGTCTGTAATTTCCTTATAAAATTATAAATATCTTTATGCATCTTTAATGATAACGAAAGTTTTATCACACTAATTATATTATTTGTTATCAGTTATTAGAAAATTTATTTATTGTACAAAACTAAACTAACATTGTATAGCTCCAGTC